CGGCACTTATATGACATATTTGTGTAGCAAGTGTCGTGAAACTCTTACAAAAACAAACATGAGTGTGTCTGACATATCCCCCCCTCCCCCCTTTTTTTTAAAAGACAAGAGTTATTAATGTCTGAAACACCAGTATCGAGAGAAACTTAATAACCAGTGAAGTTTAGAATCAGATGTCGTTTATGTCTCGTATTTTCCCACATATTTGTGAGTATGGTGCAGTTTTCATCCAATAATACAATGTACTTGTACAGCACTGATCCCCCCCCCCCCCCCAACAATTTTATGTGATGAGTCATTATTTTAATATTTTATTTTTCTGCAATCCATTTTGTTTCTACTTTTTTTTAACGTTTGAAGTTCATGTATGTCATAGTAATTTGAGTTCAATAAAGGTCAGGATATCTGCACCTCCTATGTGGATTTTTCTTTCATTGGATTTCCATTTTTGCTCCAGTACATGTACCTTTGGTTGTTGTTGTGGTTGTTTAATTTGTTGTTGAAGTTGCCGTTGTGGTTGTTGTTATAATGTTTTTATTTGTTGTTGTTGTTGATGATGTTGCAGTTGCTGCTGCGTAATTTGATAAGTTTTTGTTGTTTTGGTTACTGCAGTGCTTAAAATTGCAGAACTTGTTCTTGTTCTTGTTGATGTTGTTGCTGTTTTGTAATTTGTTATTTAAGTACTGTTGTTGTGGTTGCTGAAGCCGTTTAAACTGGTGTTGTCGTGGTTGTTGGAGATGTTGTTTGTTAAACTTGTTGTTAAAGCATTAAGCCCCCCATTCTTCAGGCCATTCCCAAAGGGGGGATATTAGCATTTTTTTAAATGCACAATAGAATTGTAAATGGGCTGATTTTCCAATGTCATGCTCATAGTGTGCCGGAACAACAGATGGAACAGCTGCTTTTTCTTTCCTCATTCTTGCGATCGTCATTTTTCCTCAACGGTACTTCTTTTGTATGTTTGTCACTCTCTTGTGAACTGCTATTTCCGGGGTGTCTTGGTAGTCGAAGCACACTGCTCAGCTGACAACAGGCAGACCACACAGCGACGCTGCTCAAGCACACGATGATGTATACGTTCATTTGCACGGTGCTAGCTAGGCAAACTACAGGTCAGTCCTGCAGAGCCACTCTGGGACCGGCTTTACTAAAAACCAAGACTAGACCTTATTTAACTCAACATGCTGCCAGTGTACTGGTATGTAGCCCCCCTCCCCTCAGGTACGCTCGTGTAACCCGTACCTTGTCCATGTGTCCAGCTCAGAGCAACTGTTAACACTTTAAGGACGGAACGGACACCCAATTTGTCCGATCAGCAACAGCAGACCCAAGCAATGTGACACAGTCCAAACCGTCACACACAACTCACAAACACAAATTTGTCGGTGGTAGTAACACCTAATCTTCAGCACTTCTATGACCTTATCGTGTTGCAAGTGCCATAAAACTCTTATTAATTAAAACAAAGAAAAAAATGAAAATAAACACATTTGCATACATTTGCACAGCCAGTATGTTGTAACCCGCCTTAAGACTTCAGATTAAGAAAACAATTGAAAACTCTGCATTAATAACAAATATATGCTTCATTTTCTTTTTCTTTAAGAGCCCCTAAACAGCATGTCTTCAAACGTTGTCGTCGAATGTGCTTCCTCAAAGAGTTGAAGGTTCAGATCCCACTCCCCCCCCCCCCCAAAGCCTCCATGCTGTACGATAGGAGAAAGTAGGTAAAAATTAAAGTCTCAGATATTTCTGCTTTTCACTTGTTATATGTCAACATATTAAATACTTTTTATTTCCAATAAACAAACGAAACAACGCCAAAATGTCTGCCACATTTCCCAAGAGAAGACAAAGTAAAAGCTTGTCGAGTCTAATAACTTTTATTCTCAAATACGATAAATGTTTTATCATAATTTTCATGGAGTGCTTTAACATTAATTTCACAATCTATGACATGCTAAAATGGTCTCAGAGTACTTAATTCACAGGAACACTGTACAGTTTAATGCTCAAGGATTGTATAATAGTAATATAGCTGTATTTTTAAACTCGTGCATTTTGCAGAGAAGGGTTTCTGTGAATGTGGGTAAGTACAGATGGGGTATATATTTGGGGTAATATTATACAGATTTGTACACTGTGCTCTTTTATATAATCAAATGCCATTGTTGTTTGTCTCAAGGGCATATCTAGATATCAGTAATGAGCAGTGCCAGTGACTGGCAATGGCAGTCACCAATACATGTACCAGCACATTAATACAATAATAGTCAGTAACGACCTGTGATAGGAAGTAACGAACAGCGGTAACCAGTAACAATCAGTAATAATAGTCAATAAAGACCAATGTCAGTCAATAACATACAGTAACAGTAAGTAATGAATAGTAACGACCAGTAGCAATCAGTAACGACTAGTGTCCGTCAATAACGAACAGCAACAGTAAGTTACGAACAGCAACGACCTGCAACGCTAGATCTAACAATTATTGACGACCAGTAGGCTAACAATCAGTGACGAACAGTAACAGTCAGTGACGAACAGTAACAGTCAGTGACGAACAGTAACAGTCAGTACCTAACAGTTCAGTTTCCTTCCACTAGACATTTGTTGGGAGACTTGCCAAAGGGAGCAATAAAACGGTGGAATTCCTACCCATTGACGCATGTATCCACGTAAAGGGTTCCATTCATGCCCAGTCGTCACATTCTTTCACGTCATACATTAAAAAGCAAAAACTTGGTGCACGTGGTAGTCAGAAGTCTATAGCGATGAGCTTTGACACATACCACAGACCCGTGTCCAACAATGCCACACACAAGAAAGCAGAGTTAAATCAGCTTGCTGTACTGCCTACTATAAATATAATTTGGTTGACAAAAACTTAAAATTGTGAATTAATGAATAACATAAAATCAGACAACTCACTTGTCCCATACACTCCTGTATTGCTAGTTACTAACTACACAGGTACAATTTAACTTCTCTACGAACATTGTAAACCGAGACAGTGGGAGAGTACAATAATAGCATCAAGTATGGGGTTGGGCTACCTCTGGAATACGGGACGATAGGCATCGTACAAACACGAATTTAGGATGAGTCGTATTGCAGCTCTTTCCTCTAAAAAAAAAAAGTACCAGAAATGCAAAAAAATAAAATAATAATAACAATAATAATAACAAGAGTAACAATAATGATGATGATAATAATAATAATAATAATAATAATAATAATAATAAAGACAGAGTACGAAAGTATTAGTGTAGAAAACAATCCGCCCCTCACAACTCTTTTTTATAATAAGCACCCACGAAAGATAATAATGAGCCGACCCTTGACATTCCTGAAAGAAGATACGGTAGGGCACCGCTAGGTGGACAATTTCCTTCTTAGTGATAATAATTACAATTGGATATTACGATGTATTATAATAATATATTAATTTGACGATAGCAACTCTAGCGTAGCCACGATAGACACGTTAGCACTGTCGATAGTAAAGTCAGCTTCAGGCCGAAGGGTTAGAACCCAGATGACCGCTGAATGGCGGGGGAAAAAATAAAGTCGACAGTCAAGTGAAGATGTGTATCATGGTGTCGGCCTAGGGACTCCTTTAACTTACCCAGTCATGAGGTAAAACCTACAATCCAACATTCCTACCAATCAAAACCAGTGGAGGAAGAGTTAAGAGAGTCCAAGAAGGTCCCGTATTTTATTTGAACCATGGCTGTCCACACCAAAGGCCAGAATGATACCAATTACGCCAGGGTGGATAGATCATACTGAGGTTTAATGAGTGCCATCTTACTGCCTTTTTGTGTTAAGAGCATCCTTGGAATGTCAAAGCCACTTGAGTTTTACACTTTTTTCAATACACACATGTACCCTCACGAACACATGCACATACACATACATTCACATACACGGGCATAAACACCCACAAACAATCACACATAAATATGTACACACATGCCTGCATACATATTACCTGTACATATACATATATCTATACATACATACACACACCACACACATACGGTATACATAATTAAACACATACAAGCACACATTCATACATACACAAACACATACGCCAACGCATACACCCCCAAAGAAATACATACTATACATACATACATATTATATGATTATATCAAAGGATAGACGTACAACTGGGCAAATAAAAGAGCCCCAAATACGGTATAGGCTCGCTGCGGCTTCGAACCTCACCGTAGCTTACATTATTCAGTAATCTGGATTCGTTCGACTAGAGGGATGTTCAAAAACCTAATTGAGCCTCGCATCTCTTGTTCAGTAATTCTCTTGATCGTCTTTTAAATGTTTGGGGTGCGACCTGACGAAGTCTGAGATTCAAATTGTTGTACATATATTATTATGTCCCACCAGGGAACACAGCAGTCCTCAGCAAGTGTTGTACTTTATCATAGAAGCCAAAGATTCAAAATGAGAGAGGGCTTGAAGTTTAAAAAAATCAAATTTTCTTTTCTGTACTTGAAAAAAAAAAGAGCGATGCCATAGTCATTTTAACAACCGAATACTTCAGCACATTGGATTACATATTTTGTTAACACATGTTAATTAAGCAAGGAGCGGCCTTCTCCCTCTATGCTCTACGGAAGGGGCACCATTTTATCCTTAAAATTCATTCCTGTGGTGCACAGTGTCTAGAAAACCTTCTCGAAATACTCTAAGTAAAGTCCATTACGAGGAGCAGCAGCTTGGAAATATTTTTGGAAAATTATGTGTCAATAGCCTTCAAATTACTAGACCTCTTAATTAATAATGATCGTAATAAACCTTACCTCTCTGAATTGACTTCGCGTACCACTATTGCATACACTATAGTCTTGCTACGCTGAAAATCATTGTTCTTTCTTGGAACTTTCACTATTGTAGCACACTCAGTCAAACTTACGTTTCTTTCTACAAATAACAGTCTTTATTCTCACACTAACACTACACAGGCCAATAATCCATTAAACATCGAAAGCAGCAAGTGCAGAGATCAAGCTGCTATCTAATTTGACTTCCAAAGCATAGGTTTACATGTATTTATTTTTAGTACCAATCACTTAAGAATGCCAGTAAAGAATATCAGTCCTAATCTAAAACGTTTTAGATTGCGAATTCCCCTGACAGGCGAATCATCACATTTATCACTATCATAGATGAGTTCTTTTTTGTTCGATAATAATCTATCTTTTAAAAGCTGGTATCTAAGAGTTCGACGGGGGTTTTTTTCAACTAGATCTTTGAAGAGAGATTGGTTTAAGGAACAATGAGCAGATTACAAACACTACGCATGACATAACTGAATGAGTCCAAAAGCCACAAATGTTAACCAACGTCCTAACCATTTTTAAAATGTGCTCAACAAAATTGCAATAACACATGGTTGCACCATAAACAATGTGGTACTACAAATTCTGAAAAATGGTACTGTATTCATGCCCAATCATTAGTTTGTTGGATATCATTGCTCAGCAATTTCAACAAATTCAACAAAACATTTCTCCTGGAAGCTGTCCATAGTAGTCTCTATAGAATGTCAATGTTAGCATTTAATAACCTTCCGTTGAAGAAGCTCTCCTCTGCCCTTCGTCTACATGCTCGGGCTTACGATGGGGTACTCAGTGCGCTGACGAACATTGCCAAAGGGGCAGTAGCTCTCAGAACTGACCCCGAGTCACTGGACACAGAGAGACTGTCGGATTCCTCCTCCTCTTCCATATCTTCCTCATCAGTGACAACAACAAGGTCCAAATCTGCAGTGTCCATTATCCCCTGAGCTCCGTTTTGTCCGTTAGTCGTCGTAGACACAGCCTGGGTTATGTCAAACGACGTTTGTGAAAAATGGTCGGAATAGATCGTTGGAGTTCCAAGCTCGGCCGGGCACAGCGATATGCCGGTGGTAGAGCGAGGAGCAAAGCTGCTGAGTTCTGTCTCAAACTGGTTCAGCTGCATCATGAAACTAGTGTTGGGCCAGATCACATGACGTCTAGACCGGATGTAGTCGAAGGCCTCGTCTAGCGTGATGCGGCGGAAGTACATGAGGTATGCCAGGCACACCGTGGCAGAGCGACTCACCCCGCCCCTGCAGTGAACCAGGACCTTGCCTTTAGAGCAGCGCTCGCTCTCTGAGACACAAATAAAAGCGTTGTAGAGAAAATGGTGTCATTACAACGCCATGTTTCTATGTTATAAGCATACATCAACAGATTAACAGGTAAGGTAAATAATTTTTTCTTAAAGTGACCATTGTACAAAGACTGTTTTTTTCCTCTTTCTCCCCCTCCCTGTCTGTCTGTCTGTCTGTCTGTCTGTCTGTCTGTCTGTCTGTCTGTCTGTCTGTCTCTCCTTCCCTCTCCCTGCCTTCTTTTCTCTCTCTCTCTCTGAATTGACTTCTCTATCTTTCATAACAGAAACGTAAAGATGAGTCAAAAGGAATTTATTGTTTAGGACGACTGCCTTCTTTGATTTGCCTTTTTTCTTTTTCCTAAAGATGTGTATGGCGAATAATCCATATCCCAAACAATATGCCTAAAACTATAAACAAGTGATACTTTTTAGACAAAGAACATTTGGGAACCTTTTTGCTATAGTGTGCTTCATTAACAAGGTGACCTGCCAATGTTTTCTCGTCCTTACTACACTGTTTCCAAACAGGGCCATATCCTGTCCGGAAACCAAGCGTGGCATTTGCAAGTTGACTAGTCATTCTATGTTTAAGTTGAATTATTCTTAAAGCAAACAAGCACAATATTATTACGCAAACTTTCTCCAGGAACCAACCACTTGATCACTGTCTAGTGGGGCACTAAGCTTCAGCCAAACCAAATAATGAACGAGATTCACCTTCAAGAAGGTGCCCATTGGCATGATCTGTTCAGTTCGGTTCGGTTTTGTCGGTTTTATCGGTTTTGTCGGTTTTGGGCAGTTTGGGGCTAGCCGGATTGTCCTCCAAGAGAGACGAAACCGACAAATCGGATGACGACTTTCAATAACAAACGCGTTTGTTGTCAAGGCCGCGCGTCGGGCGATCGGTTAGGGCAGTTGGTCTATCCATTGTGGGAATTATTACACACCCTCCGCGAAATACAAGACTGGGGTTGAGCTATCAAGGTATGGGACCAGTATCCATCTCCAAACGTCTGCCTGTCTCCACGACCACCATTCATTGCTTTCGATGAGAATTCCCAAAGCATTGCTGTATTTGATTGAATGACTCACACTTTTCAAATAGAAGGCAGACATACGTGCAGGGCAATTACTATTAATTTAATGTTTGTTTTCAAAGTTCAACTTTATTAGTAGTAGGTTTGTAGCGTCAATTTGATCAGATCCAAATTTACTATTCTTCTCCGTTTATGAATATTACCCCCCCCCCTTTCCGTGTTACTCATCTATCTTTTTACTCCAATCGCACTCTCTCTCTCTCTCTCTCTCTCTCTCTCTCTCTCTCTCTTCTCTCTCCTCCTCCTCCTCCTCCTCT